GAATAGTTTGTAATTTAATATCTTTAAAGATGTTTACTGCAATTAAAAATAATTTAAAGATCCACATGGGAGCTTAGCTTACACATTCACTCATTCACCACATATTCATGTTTATGGGAAGCTGCACAAAAAAAGGTTAGGTATTATATGTTGATACTGGCCACTTAAGATGAATTAGCTGTAAGTCATTCACTTTATACATGCTTTGAACTTTTGTTTTGTTTACACAAGACCATAACAACATAAATTCAACTCAAGAAATAAAAATAAATTATGACGTATCAAAACAACATAATCATTATCCTAATGGTAACTTTCTAGAAAGGAAATACCAAGTTCAACATGTGGCACCAATATTAAACTGCAATAAACAAACAGAGTTATCTTGAATAAAAATATAATTACGTTGCCTGAAGCAGCAGTGCAAACATTTGACAAAGTTGTACTGGTTGCAGTATTATATAACTTGTGTGACGTTATTACAAAGAAGCCAAATACAAGAGCTATTATCACTATTATTAAAACATGGCCCCCAGTGAAATATACAAAATAACAATTTATCTAGCATTGATCAATTACTGGATACAAGGTCATATTTACACAGTTCTATTTACACAGGCAACTGTTTTATACAATATTGTAATTATTAAAGTCAAAGTGTAAAATCTGTAATAGAAATAATCTTTGAACAGAACTGCATAGGATTCCATCAAGAAATGCACTACAAGTCAACGTGCTAAGACAATATTACTCTAAGTATATTACAAATACCTTAATTTGATTTGCAATAACAGAACCAAGTGAGCACTTCCCATTCGTCTGCCATCAGTCTCCACAACGAGAAGGCGCCACCATGTCCACAATATGCATGTATTTTTTTGTTTCTTTGTCACCAATGTGGCAACAGTAGCAACACAGGCACTCGCATCATAACACAGACACAATTGCACTTGAGTTATCCATCACCCACACTATCATAGTTTTAGTATAGTACAAAACTTGCATCCTCACTGAACACAATAAATCTAGTTACTCTTTACTTTATTTAGAATTTATTTCTACTCCCAGGCATGGGCCAGATCTTATTCTGAATGCAATCCAGCTTCAGGTACAGCATGCTGGCATGTTATAAAACATGGCCAGGGACAGGCAAACTTTCAAGTAGGGCAGCACACTTGAATGAATAATACCTTTCCTCAATGGGCTATTCAACTTACTTTAGAGTACTACATCTGGTCCACAAATGGTAGTTTGCCTGCCCCTATTGCTCTCACCCAGTACCATCTGACAGCACACAACACTGAAATCCTACTGTTTCTGCAGAATGTAACTAATCAAGGACAAAATTATTTTGTGCTCTGGGCCACAGGTTCTCAGCCTAGCAGCACAAATCCACTGAGAATGGTAAAAATAAGTTACTTCCAAAGAGTTGCATGTACAATGGGGTGGGAATGTTTGATAAAGCAATTATAACAATAACATTAAAGAGATTTGACATTAATAACAAATCTAGCAGAAGACATGTGAATGCTAAAAAGCACAGTCCTAGAGACTCACAAAAACATATGGACTAATCATAATTCCATACTCACACAACTATAAGATAGATTCTTTCATTTTCATTACAAAATAACGAGACATTTGATATTCACAAATGAAGACAATTTATATAAAAAAGTGATTCAATGATTTCTGGTAACTGCTGTACCTTGAAACTTGCATACATTAATATGAAAATATTAAAAAAAATAACCATTAGACTTTTAACTATTGCTGCCACACTGACAATTTCTCTGCTTGGAACTGTGGTTATACTTTAGAGGTACATCTAATAATCAACCAGCATTAATCAGACATGAATCCACATGTTCAATATCATTGTTACTGCTCAACAAAACAAAAGTATGCTTAATGTAGAAACATTCTCATATTGATACTGTATACATAAACATAATATTAAAGGTGTCTGGTTGCCAGATGACACTTAATTTGTGGATACACTAGTGAACTTTGTGGTGATAGTTAAGAACTGATTTATGGCATAGTACTTGGTCTGAACATCTGAATGTAATTAATTTTGAACTCTGTTTTCATAAGTGTTTACTGTACCTTTTAAACTCAAGTTTTGAATCATGTGGCATGACCATGGCAGATCACATGGAAAACAAGAAACTCTGATAAAATTAGTGTTTACCCAGTACATCAAAGAGAGTAATAACTGCAGGGCATCAAGAAAAGTACAGTGTTTCATCAGTACAGGAGACTGTGATACAGTCCACTCGTGGACATTATATATATCAATGGACAATGTTTCACATATTATTACAGTGCCATGCATAGGTTCAAGATGACTGCATGGTAGAGGGGCTGCTATTAATCACTTAGGGATGGGCTTGTTAGTGACAGTAAGTCATATATAATATTCTTACTTTGTTGGTGTGATACTATTCTGAATTTTGCAACTGAAGATGTCAAAAAATGCATAATGAGCAGTTTCATAATTTGTATATTTTGCCAAATTCTATAAAAGTGACAAAATCAAGGATATTAAAAGAATGTTTACTGCAATGCAGATATTCTTAAGCATGATAATGGAACTATAACACATTTTGTTCTTATTCCGTTCACAACCAATAAATTCAAGTAATATAATTTACATCCAAGTTTAAATTTTCTTAGCTTGAATATACTAGTTAATATAGTTTAAGGAACCAGGAATAATAATTCAAACAATGGGCCAATCTAACAGTCTACATTCACAATCCTATTGTTGAAACAGAACTGCTTGCGGACATATCTTGCACAATAAAAATGGTCCTGAAAAGTAAAGCAGTTAGCACAGCAGTGTTAAATAAAATCAGTTTTCCAATAAGAATTAATGTAAATGTAGCTTCCCACCACTACTTTTGATATCTAAATGTATGCAGTAGTTTCAGTGCTTTGAACTTTTAGCTGTATGATGCTCATGTTCAGTATAACAATGTTGAGTGAATAGTATTAAGCATGGGTTGCATGTATCACAAATTGAGCAATTTGTTTTATCAGCCAACATTTAAAGAACTTTAAATTTTTCCCACCTTCCAATTTAGTACACTGCCAAGTCTGTCTTTGTTAACCATCTTCAGACTAAATAATATATAAGATGATTAAAATGCTTGAATACAAAATCTCAAACTAATGCTCTAGTACAGTATTCAACAATTATATAACTCCTTTCATAAGATATTTCCCTAACAGTATTCTCCCAAGTTGTGATTTTTGCAGCATATTAACATAATCACATTCATTACGCAACTATGTATGTCCGGGAACAATATTCTTCAAACATTTGTTTAAATAAACATTGTTTGGTCCCCTGCTGCATAATACAATTACAACATCAAAACTAACAATAGATTTTCAATGTTGCCTCTGAGACCATTATAAGAAAACTGAATGTTAAGAATGTAAAGTTTCAACCCACCATCATACTATTTTAATGTCTACTCAAAATGAATGACTAAAATTAATTCGAAGATTTCAAAATTTGCCTCAAAACTTCAACATAAACATAGAATATATAATGTCCAAGAGATAAATTATTCTTTCACATGACAACATTCAAATATAAAAGTAGTAATGTTCCACAGCTGTAATATATCAATGGATTAATTCAGTTATGGTTGTGGTTTCGGTGGTCGTGTGGGGTGGGAAGAGGGAGACTTTTGGAAGGAACCTGAAACAGAGTAGCAGGGAATGCCAAGCAACCTTTCAAATGGAACTGCTATGGTACAGTTTTCAGTGCAGGCATACTACAAAGCCTAAATATTTTTATGTGCCCATCTTTATGGTACCATGAACTGCTTTTAAAGAGCCACAATATAATTTTCATATGGTGAATGCACTGTCAGTAGCTAGCTAACATCTGAACAGTTACATACTGCAGAAATGCACTTATGAAATATACTTAAATGGTAGTCCTTCATATACAGATCTCTTAATTCCATGAAAAGCATAAGAGTGAAATTTTACTGTAATTACATGAAACCACTTGGTACTGAGTCAGCAATATATGATGCTACAACATAATAAGGCAAGAAACTCCATAATTCAATATGACTAGCAACAAGAAATTGTACAAAAATATGTAGATAGACAATTAATTTTAATAACACTAATTCAATAAAACCTTCCATAAGATTAATGCAACTCTGCATTTCTGAGATTCAATTGGACATGGTTAGCACATTTCATACAATGGAATTTGAAGAAACAACAAACAGAATTCTGCTCTGTGTAGGTTTCTGTAGTGCAATATGGCTCTACAAATGAAGCTTTGTATGTATGTGAATTTCCTTACCATCATTTAAATTTTACCCATTAAATTAATTTAGGGATGCAGAAAATATAACAAAATAAAAATAAAGTACAATCAACAGAACTCTTACAAATTTAATGACTTAAGGACACAGAAGAAAGAATCACTATATATACATGGACAGCAGCATTTTCTTTCATATCAGTTCTTCCCAAGCATCTTTCAGACTGTGCCTGTGTCTTTTCATAATAAGTGTTCTTTGCCATATATTACATTCATCACATCCCTTGCCTTTCTATCCTGCTTTTAAATAAAAATTAATTACTGTTCTAGAGAATACAGATCAATAAATTATATTTCATTAAATTACAATCAAATTTTCAACAGCAAGAATGTGATTATCCATGTCCTACCTGTAATCCAAAATTGTCATAAAATACAAGGGATAAGCAAATAATGAATGCATTTCAATCAGATTTTTAATGAAAACTTAACAGAGGTATATAAAACATTTATTACATTCAAATATTAATGAATACAGCAATGCAC